AAGAAATCACTGTGGAACTTTTTTAAACTAATGTACCTAAAACCTTAATAATGCCAAGGCTGCACAAACCTCAAAATTACTCATTATACTAATATATAATGTTTTAGAATGTAAATATAATAAAATGAAATAAACATTTATATGTTTTATTACTTTTTTAATTTTTGTGTTTTATCATTTCAGCTTCTATCAGTGGTTCAGACACCAGAACAACAATCCCCTGCACTTCCTCAAATGCTCCCCTAACAGGCTTCATCTGGAGATTCAACCATAGTCAGATCATCCTGAACCAGACCAGGACTGACGTCCCCTACACAGTCTCAAAGGAGTGGAGGCAGCAGGTGAAGAGTGTGTCTGAGTCAGGCAGCCTCACACTACAAGACTTATCTTCAGATCAAGAGGGAACATACACCTGTGAACTCAGTAATGAGCAGGAGACATACATTACCAACACAGTCCTGAGGAAAGAGAAGAGTCAAGGTAAGTCAGCATAGGTTACGAACTCTGTCTATGTGAGGAAAAACCTTTGTTATCTGTAATATCTGAACAAATTAGAAATAAAAAAGAGAAAACTTACTTTTACATTTTACCATGAAAATATTTATTTATAATATACTTAAATGCAGTCTTTGTAAAGAGTTACTTAGTTTTTGTTAGTGGTACAGTGGTTAATGGACAGTTGAATTAAACGACTCTTTCTATTTTAGGGAATTCAGCCAGTGTTGGAGCCATTATAGTCGGGGTGATTTTGGCTGTAGCACTTGTAATCGGCCTGGCAGCAGGTAATTTCTTTTAAACTTTTTTCTTGTATGTTGTTTGTATAATTCTTTTTTGTATAACGTAACCTATCACGTTAAAGAATTTCTGTAATAACGTGAAGCATTTTCCATCTAAAGCCATCAGCCTGCACCTCAAACACACATCAAACTGATCCCCGAAGCATTCATCACAGAATCTGACCAATGTATGGACAAATAATTTAATATTCACAAACATGAACATTGTCAGCTGTCTCATCTACCACCTTTGAGTACTTTGCAGCATATAACATCCAGGGCTCTGACAGATCACTGTATAGCTAATTCTCTATGCTAAATAGAGGGGAAATGTGTAAATAGTAGAGAATGCTAATGAGTTTTCTTCCATTACGTTTGTGATTTGTGTATTTTAAGGCACAGAAACATCTCCCTATTTTGATATTCTCACAAGTTCTTTAAAACTGTGGTGTGTTTTCTATCCCCTCTCTGATAATGTAACTAATCTCAGTCATGAAGTCAAGAAGAACACAACGACGGCGACAAGAACAACAACAACAACCACAACAACAACAACTACTACTACAACAACAACCACAACAACCACAACCACAACAACCACAACAACAACCACAACCACAAGAAGAAGAAGAAGAACAAGAAGAACAAGAATGACAACCACTGTAAGTAAATCATCTGTATTCAAATGTATGGCTGCACTGTATGAACTACAGTATAACAGTCCACAGTATGTCATGTCTGACTAAATTAAATTAAATCATCATGATCGCTGAGATGAATTATCTCGCTCTGCAGACATTTTTGAAGAACAAGAATAAATAATTGTTTTGAATTTAATGTTTTGGTACTGAATTTTGTTTCATTTTGTCTGCAGATTAGAACATGACGATAATCCCAGTGCAAGTGGGAATGACAGTGAAAGTGACGCACACTGAATGAACAAAGGACAAACTGTACAGCGAAGTGAAAGAATTATTATGGTCTTTTCCTCGGTGGTTTGTTCTTTGCTGGAAACTTGACCTTTGCTACCAGCTAGCAGTTATTTATGATGCGTTTTTTTACGGTGCTAAGAAATACAAATGAAGACATGAAAATACTTTGCAGTTAAAAAAAATGTTAGTTTAAAAGGCCCTGACAATGCATTATCTTATCCAGCTTCTTCATGGTGGTGATGAGAGATTAATGTATTTGTAGAAATAAAAAGTGTAAATGTGAGATATTCTTTTTGCCAGCGCAAGATTACATGTTTGAGCTAGTTTTCATAGTGGGGGTTGCAGGTTTGTTCACTGTAATGACTGGAGGCTATTATCATCCAAAACTAAGGCCTACTAGCTAGTGAGCGAAAACCTGTTACAGCTTGGTGCAGGCTGTTGGGGTGCAGAGGTGCTGGGGATACTACTGTCTGTGTTGGTGCTTTTGTACTTTTTGTTAGTCCCAACGTTGGGTACCATTTCTGTGGAGTTTTTGTTGCAAATGTGTTCATTTGTTTTAAGTTTATTTAGTTCCTGTTTGGGATTTAATGGTAAAGATCAATTGTTGTTGGTGTTGGTTGCAAACCTTCATATCTACAATCAATGTGATTTTAGATGATTTAAATGTTTTCCTAGTGCTGAACAAGACTGAGCAAGTTTTCAAACCACAAACTATTTACCGGGTCGATGAAGTTAAAAATACTGGAGTTACTGGGAGGCCAGTTAACTGAATGGTAGGAACACTCTGTTGTTTTACACGTTTACTTCACCTCATTGTTACTGGAGTACTGTCATTCTACTCATTTAAAGGTATTTATGTTTACTTCAGTAGTGGTGTGTTGATATTCAGATTTCCACAGACAAACTGCCTCTTTTATGACTTAGTGATCAAATGGAAAAGCCTTGATTTTTTTTTCCACTTTTTCCTGTAATTGTGTGATCAAATGTTTATTTGTATGTTGTATCGTTTAGTCCCGAAAAGGTTCTTCTACATAAACACACAAGTTAAATTTAATAGGTAAGTAAATTAGAAAAATAAGATACATAAAACTTGCGGGAAGTAGTTGATGATTATTTCCATTATGGATTATTCTGCTGACTGTTTTCTATTTTTGGTTGGTTTGTAAAGAATTCTGAAAGTGATGGAGGAAATATTGTCACAATTACCCAGAGCCACTGCTAGGACACCTTCACAATTACATAAACCAAGAGTTGAAAATCATTTAAAATAAAAGTAGTCACATAGGACAACTGGAACCATGAAATGATTTTTTCATGGAAAAATGACTTTTAAACGATGATCAAAAGTAGTTGCAAAGTTTAAATTTTCTGTCAATCAATAATTTGATAAATCCACTATCATTACAACTGCACTTGCAGGCCATATTCGTATACTATGGGTGTAATTCTTAACCAACACATGTTTTAACGTTCCTCATATGACTTTGTATGTGAAATTTTATTTGTAAAGTAACTAGTGACTAAAGCATAAAGATAAATAAGTGAGTAACAAAGTGGCATGAAAATAAAGACTGTGAACAAATACCTCAAATTGAAACTAAAGGAGTTAAAGTTACATTCCACCACCCAATCCCTGCTCTCATTTATATTTCAGCCTTTCCATATTT